GAGAGAGAGAGAGAGAGAGAGAGAGAGAGAGAGAGAGAGAGAGAACGAACGATTCCCGATCGGCATGTCGTTGGGCCGGGCGACCATCCACACCTCGCCAGGAGAGGCATCATTCGCGCGCATGCAGGCCAGTGGGCGATTCGCCGAGCGGCTAGACATCCCAACAACAACTACTGCACTACTACTGCCCCTCCTCTACTACTACTAATACCACTACTGCAACAAACTCCAACATACACCTACGGCTACTCTCTGCTTACGTGGAGTCGGTCCTGGAAGAGGTCTGGAGAGCCTCTAGCTCCAGAGCCCGGAGGTGCGACAATGTTCGGCGATTTATTTCCGATGACTATCTTGGCGGCTCGGGACGTGACGAGAGAAGGCGGCGGTGGTGGAATGGAAGAGAGGTATAGGAGGGAAGGGCGAGGGGAGGCTTGTCTGCCGCGGCGGCGGCAGGTTGCCTGCCTGCCCGTGAAGATCCTTATCACCGCTCAAACACATGACGTATCGGCGCCCGCTGAGGCGTGGCCACTGCTGATAACAGCAGACTTTACATCCGGCCTGCAAATTGCTACCCAAATCGTCTTTTTCTGCCCCAAAAGATGAATTTTGACACACACGCACACTAGCACGCGCTCGCGCGAACACACACCCGTATGGCTTGCTATAGGGTTATTCTGTCATAAGTTTGTCGTTTGATAACGACATACATACGGCACACGTAGGACGAACAAACGCAGAAAGTACGACACAGCAACTGCCAAAAAACGACAAACCAAGTCGTCGTAGGTTTGTCGTTTTTAGTATGGTAATTTTGTCTTCAAAACGACACTTTTCACGCCAAAATAACGACAAACAAACTACAAAATGATCTCTACGGCGGAAAAAAAGGCAGCCCGGACGGGAGGCGAACCTCTGACCATGCGGTTCAGAACCCGACGCCCGAACACGCTTGGCCAAAGCGGATTCGTGGTAGGAGGCGTGCGGGTGTTCCCTCTAGTGCTGCAGCAGACATCTGCGACTATCACCACATACGTGAGTGTTTGTACAAAATGCGGAACTACCGAAAAGGCATTACCCGTTGTAAAGCACGGTAGCGGAGGTCGTGTGGCATCATCAGCCCATGGCGGCAGTCCTTTGACGAGATCACAGATAGTACAACACTCTGATCGGGTTGGATGAAAATCAAAGTCGCAGCCGTGCCTACTGCGGCACTAGAGGGGACACCCGCACGCCTCCTACCACGAATCCGCTTTGGCCAAGCGTGTTCGGGCGTCGGGTTCTGGACCGCATGGTCAGAGATTCGACTCCCGTCCGAGCTGCCTTTTTTTCCGCCGTAGAGATCATTTTGTAGTGTGTTTGTCGTTATTTTGGCGTGAAAAGTGTCGTTTTGAAGACAAAATTACCATACTAAAAACGACAAACCTACGACGACTTGGTTTGTCGTTTTTTGGCAGTTGCTGTGTCGTACTTTCTGCGTTTGTTCGTCCTACGTTTGCCGTTTGTATGTCGTTATCAAACGACAAACTTATGACAGAATAACCCTATAGCAAGCCATACGGGCATACACACACTTTTGTGCGCGTCTTAGTAAAGTTTCGAGCATTTCTCATTGGTTCGGTATACATCCTTATCAGGTCCGCGCCCCGCTGAACAGGACGCGCGGCACGCGCCCCGCAGCGAGGCTCGGCCGGGTCGCTCAGGCCCCCAGCCTCGCCGAAGCGCGCGCCAGCGATGTAGATCACATATTTTGCATTTCCAGAGATGACAAGGTCCAGCCACCGCCGCCGGGCCGGCCGCACCGGGGCGCACCGAGCGGCCAGGAAGGCGTGTCGCCGAGCCGGACCGTTGGCGCGCGCGCAAGGCGCAGTTGACAACGTTACTGCGATTGCGAAACCTCTTTCGCCCGGCCCCTGAACCCAACACGAGATTATTCATTCAGATTGAAGTGCGGCATAAAAAGCGCGTGCCTAAGTTTTCCAGTAAGGAAAAAAATCCACGACAAACACAGAATCGAGTTACCCAGTTAAAGTATATGTAGCAAGCTTCGGCGGTTAGAAAATCTAAAATATTTTTGCCACTTTTCATGCATGACAGGAATCCAGGGATTGATTTCATCGGGCATCCATTCCATTAAGGTTTATCCAGAGAGTGCGCCCGTCCGTCATTCGCCGTTACGAAACTGCCAAGTTCAGACCAATGCAAGCTCCAGAGGCGCCTGATAGGTAGGCAACACCTCAGCCGCAGTGCACGCGTGTACTGCGGGGTGGCCTACCCCTAGTTTCACAGGCGCCAGGAGGCTCCCGTTACGTAACTTGCCAAATGAATAGCTGTCAAAAAAACGGGCGTACTTACTGGGCGATCTCTTAGGCCATTTAAAGATTGGCCGTACCAAGACAAGCTGTCGAGTCCGCCGGACCACAAAGAGCTACAAGCGACCCATAGCAGGACTCAAAGGTAAGACCCGGAGGACCTGGAGGACCTGGAGCACCAGCAGACCCGGAGGGCACTGCGCTGTCGGTGGGCGTAGCCGCGACGTGGCCGGCCGGTGAGTCGTGCAGGGGCGTCTCCGGATGGCTGCGGCAGCGCCCGCGCCTCGGGCCGACTCCGGGTACCTCCAGACCACTGCCGACCTCCTCGAGCATGTTGCCGTCCCGGCTACCTCTGGATACTACTCCGGTGGTGATCGACAGACCTCCGAAAAACCTCTAGCCCCCAATAGGCTCACAAATACCCCCACGTCAAGAGATTTGTCAAGTATTCGGTGGTGAAGAGTGCAGAGGCCACCAAGAAGTTCGCCATCGTGCGCGAAGCAGGAATCGCCGGCGCGTGCTTTTTTATGGGGCCGGGCGTAAATCACGGAGCGTTGCCAGGTATATCTGGCCGGTGCTGCTCGTGGTGGCGCGCCCTAATTCAAAAAGTTCGTTTTGTTCTGCGCCACGCAGCCGCCGCTTGGGGCGCCCGGGAGCGGGCTGCGCGCTGACGGCATCCAGAGGAGAGGGCTCCTCCGGATGCGATGCGTTTTGCAGCCGGCACCGGGACGGCCGAAAATTGCTACGTGCAGCGGCACGGTATAATAATCAGCTGTTTGCATTTCTTTTTCCTGGTGTTTATTTTTTTTGGAGCGCCCTTCCCCAATGGGGAGCCCCTGAGAACGAGTGGTGCTCCGGTTCTGCCGACGTCGCCACGACCATTTTCTCATTACATTTAAGAAGGCGGGATATTTTTTTTCAACTTTTCTGTCGTATTGAAATACTGCACTCGGTCTGCGCACATATCACCCTCTGCCCCCTCCCCAAGCCATCGACACGATTTAAATGACCTCAACACTACGGCACAAAACACAGAAATAAGATTACACTGACCCAGTTTCTGTGTAAGGAGAGGGGGCTCCGGAGGGGCAATCACACATCACTCGCGTTTATAACCGAGTCCATCAGGGTCAACGGCTAGGACAAAAGACGAGCGGTAATAGACAGGCCGGAGGGAGAGAAGGGAGGGGAGTGGGCCACTCCAAGGAGCAGAAGGGAGGGTGAGGAGCCAATAGTAGTGCCGCCAAACTGGACGCCAGCCTGGCTCGGGCCGTGGTCCGATGCCAGACTCAAAGCGACTATTATCGCCTACCATTTTTAATTGCGTGACGCTGCGTATAAGTTCACATTACGATTCCCTTCATATATCGCGCACCCAGTGGTGGGTCCGGCGTCCGGTGCGCGGCATACAAAAGCGCCGGCGATGTATCGAAATAAACGAGACCAGGGCGCGCGAGATCTCGTTCCGTCTGCCGCTCATCGGCTCATCACGGACGGGCGCAGAAAGAAAAAAAAATGCGATAGCCGCAGTAACTATTCCGATTCTCAACCGTCCATATTTTATTTTTAAACTTCCCACCGCGCCACCGCCGTCGGGAAGGAACGCTACAATAGCTTACTCTCCCAAAATCTAGACGACGTAGCAGAGCTGCGGGCGATATCGATATCGCACGCAGCGCCGGGGCGATATCGCTGCGAAGCGGCTGCCTGTGTGGCCAGTCGGCCAGCCGATCGATAGCGAGATATCGTCCGTTAGGACTCCGGGGCAGCCGGGGCCTCACCTCCACACCCTGCCCTACAAAGGGCCTCTC